TTGCTGAGGAAATACAACAACTTCGCGCTGTGGATCACCGGATCGGCTTTTACCGTGGACGAAGCGGAGTCCAGCCCGGAGTCGTCACATGTGGTTACCGCAAGCCCTCCAGACGCTCCTTTGTCGAATCCGCCGGCCGCACCGTTCTCAAGTCCGCCGCCTCTGCTCACTCTAGCCCCCGGCCTCTCCTCACTCTAGGCCGCCTCTGCTCACTCTAGCCCCCGGCCTCTCCTCTCCTCTCCGCCGTGTGTGACGCTGTTTCATTGTGAAAGCGAAACTACTTTGTTTGGCCTTCCAAAAGAGGACACGACTACTGTAAATGTGAAGCTTACCGTACAAGAATTCTCTTCAGAATCTGCTGGTCCACCTCAGTATAACCAGGCCAGTCCTTCTGAACTTCCTTAAACAAACAATCCTTCAATGTGAAGGTGCTGTCCTTACTATTCAGGTTAGCCACCTACACCAGCAAGAAAAACACAGCAAAATAAAACAAGAGGCTTAAGCCTTTGGCTTTCTAAAAATAAGAGTACAAGCGTTGCCTTTCAACACCAGTGCAGAAAAACAAACAACACTACAACGGCGTGCTGACAGCCTGTGTGCTATATGCTCCGGCTTTACACAGGGCTGAGCTTGTTTGTCTATGTAATGACAAATGTGTCTAGGTTGAGCCATTATGTCAAAGTAGAGTTCAAAAACATGACTTTGAACGGGTCAAACAAACTAAATGAGTCATAAACCAAAACCATAACTTTGAAAGAGGTTCTTGGTTGCTCTGGCTATGCTCAGAATAGGATACTTGCGCTATATGTACAGTATGCAGTATGCATATCATGTGTGCATCTGTATGTAACTGAATAAAGTTATCACACAGTATTATTAGCACTGGTTCTGAACCTGTTGCAGGAGGCTGTCCAGCGTCTCCTTGTCCTGAGGAGACAGGCCGTCCTTGGTGAGCCGCACCAGGAGTTCGGGTTTGCGGTAGGGTTTTAGGGCCAGTAAATGCACCAGCCGTTCCCTCAGCGGCCGCAGCGGGCTCTTCTTCTGACTGCTGGAGATGATGACCGGCCGTGAAGTCCGCCGCGACGGCGCCACATCCGACACACCCGTTATCGGCTTCCGGATTTGTACACGCTTACCTGAACAGCCAAGGGAAGAAAAAAACAAAAAAAAATGAGGTTATGTAATGAGGTCAAAAAGGACGTTTGATTAAATGTTAAATGAACAGACAAGTATTAATTGCACATGTGTAGACACTTTTTAAACTGCATTTTTTTTATAATTAAAATAATTTAAGCATTCTGCTAAAATTACTTTACAGACTTAATCTTACAGATACAAAATACAGTAACAACTACCCAATACAAACATAGCAAAGACAAATATGCTAATAAATTAAAATTGGCATTAAATGTTTAATTAGTCTTACATGATTACTTTGACAAAATGCATGAAAAATGTTATTAAAATATTTAATACAATTTTATCTAAAATGTAGAATATACAGAAAATATTTATTACAAAAGAAAATTCAGAATTTATTCATAGATAAATGGTTTTGGGCCACATTCAGCAGTGTTAAACTAAATACAATTTATATATTTGCAATATATTTTTAAAATTGAATTTGTAATCTAAAAACTATTATAGATTTTTTTTTTAAATTATATTTTTTAAAAAGAGTTTAAAAATGACAAATTAAATTACTACATTTAAAACTAATTATAAATACCTTTATTTCAAATATATAAATTATATGCTTGGAACAAAAAGGTAATTTATTTATTCATATTTAAGAATTTTGGATTTGGGCCAAATTCATTGGTTTTAAACTATACAAATATATAAATAACAGTCTTCTTTCACTACTGCTGAATGTGGCCCAAATCCATTTTTTTAAAAGTCAAAATTATATATTTATAATTCATTTATTTGATTTCAAACAAATATATAATTTACACATTTTAAATAATAAAATTCTAATTTGATAAATTTTATTAAAAGTAACAGTCTTTCTTATATATAAATTGTCATGTTTAATAAAATTAATTATAAATTTATAATTCATTTATATGAACTTAAGAAAAAATTGATTTGGGACACATTCAGCAGTGGTCTTATATATATATATATTTAAATATTTCTTATTTTTTTAAATATATAAATTACTTGTATAAATTAAAAATAAAATCGTTGTATTTCTAAAATAAATTATAAATATAATTAAAAAAATTAAACATTAAAATAACTTTATATTTAATAAATATATTATCTTAAGTATTATATAATCTAAATAATATTAAATTATTCATAAATATATTTGAGGGGAAAAAAATAAACTTATTCGGACCAATTTTTTTTTTACTGCGGATCAGTGGGAATGTATTCAGCTGATTGATTTTGCTCATTAAATGTCTTTGGTCAACGCTAGTGTTTTGTAATGATAGCTTTGTGCGAGTTAGCAGAGTTCTCCGTATAATATTTTAGGCGTCTCGTCAGTGAGCACCGGAACAGACAGCTTCATAAATTATGTAGCACGCTGCAGTTCCAGACATGTGGAGACGCACTGGCTCTAATCGCCCCTTCCACCTGTCTATGCGCACTGCGTGTAAACAGATCAGATTTTGAGCAGCTGACGGCCAAAACGAGGTTCTTCCGTTCAAGGACCGTGGTGGCCCGAGATGCGTCAAACCTACCCACGTATCTCCCGCCGGGCTTGATGACGATGGCTCCACGGCTGCGGGTTTCCTCCTCGGCCTGAGCCATGTTTTGCCTGGCTTTCTGGTAGGAGTCGTCTGTGGCGCACACCGTGATTTTGTCCTGGATCCCTCCCAGGCAGTCCAGCTGTATGCTCCCTTCACTGGATAGAGACCAAGCCTGTTAGATACTCAAAACGCCACCGACTACACCACCTTCTCACCAGTTATCCACTTTCAAATGTGTCGCCATGGCTCATTTACAGCCCAGGTGGTCGGATGGGCGTCCTCTAAGAGAGAGATTTCTTACAGCCGGCTCATCCACCTTGAAACCCTGCCAACCGCCTCTGAGCTGTTTGCTCTAAGTCTGGAAATACTGGGAGTCAAAACATCTGATCACAGTCAAGGCACATAGTGTTTTCCCATCATGCCTGTGCAAAACAACTTTTCACGGAAAGGAAACAGAGATAACAGAACGCGCATCCTGTTTGTTTGCTTAATTTCAAAAACATAAATGTTCTTTTTATTGCGAGTGTGCAAAAATAAAAGTAAACATTTACATTTAGCAGACACTTTTATCCAAAGCGACTTACAAATGAGGACAATGGAAGCAATCAAAATCAACAAAAGAGCAATGATACGCAAGTGCTATAACAAGTCTCAGCGTAACGCAGTACACGTAGCAAGGTTTTTTTAATTATATAGGCCTAATAAATAAAAAGAAAAGAGATAGAATACAAAAAGAATAGAGAAGCTAGTGTTAGTTTTTTTTTTAACACTTTGCGGGTTGTCTTACTCTTAAATATATATTTTTGGTCCTACAGATAATACTAGTATTTAGTAGAGCCCGACCGATATGGGTTTTTTGGGGCTGATACCGATATCGATATATCGGCCGATATTCTTTTTGTATATTACAGTACAGTCAAAATTTGGACACTTTCCCATTCGTGTGTCCAAACATTTGACTGGTACTATATATAGAATACAGTATATACATAAACAGACGTACACTGGAATCGCATTCGAGAGGGTTCCTCGAGCTGAAAGGATCCCCCGAATTTGGTGCGGATTCTCCGCGCCTTTACGGAGATATTGCCGTTCAAAGTTTTAATGGTTTTCCATAGACTTATAAGATAAGCTTTAAAGCGTTTCATCCAGGTCGCCAGTAGCAAACAATGGAGCACACTCTGCTGGACAAACTAAGTAATTACACCATTTCAAGCATTTAATCTGCATTAAGTTCTGTAAAAAAAATTTAAAAGTTCATATCGGCGGCAGGCTCATATCGGCCGATAATATCGGCTAAACGATATATCGGTTGGGCTCTAGTATTTAGTGTCAGCTGTTTGATCGCGCCGGCGCCTCGCACACTAGGGTTGGGCCGATAGTGTTGAGCCGGTGTTGCCATCGCAGTCTGTTCATTATCAAAATAAAATCCAGTCAGCCAAACATATCCATTTTTAAGAGTCCGTAGTATAACCGGTCTACAGCTGCTGTTATGACAAGCGCATTTTTGAGCATGTGAAGAGGATGATTTTTTCCGTCGATAAGCGAACTCGCAAGAAACCTAGTATACATTATAAATAAAAGTTTAACACTGAAATACATTGCGAATATGGAAACATTGGATTTGTGCCGAATGAGAGAGGTACGTGAGCCCAACGGTACTGTTTCGCTTTGTTTTGGTTTCTTTAGCTTTATATTTTTCATTCTTGATCTGTTCTGCATACCGTTACATTTAAACGATTTGTTTTGGAGTGAGGGGAACTATGCTCTGATTATAGTGTTTATACATTATAATATTTCTCTTTATTTGGTATTATTTCTGGTATTAATACACTATCTCCAAACATTTCCGCTGCTCACTAAAGAGTGGAGAGAGTGGGTTAAGCAGTAGCACCAATCAACGAGAGCGATTTTGAACTTAAAGCTGATTGGTCAACAATATGTTAAGGACCAATACATAATCTACAAATCATGCTCCAAATACATCTACATAAACCCACGATCGCTCTGTCTCGTATGCACGCACTGTCATGATCTACTGCACTTGTTAATGCCAGATCTTTAAAAACAAAAAAATCAAAAATCTGACATTTTCCAGAACAGGATCCGGCTCAAATTAAGCACTGGGCGGCACTAAAGAAAAATTTGTGTTGTGAGAATGTTAGTAAGGTTGACTACATGCATAATATTGTAAATGAATAAATTATGGAAACAGTAGAGAAAACAAATAGTTTGTTTTCCGAAGTTATATTTATCCACTTAAATCTTATACATTTACATTAGCATTCAAAAGTTTGACGTTAGGAATACTAATAAAAAAATTAATAAAAAAAAAAAAACTTCCTTTTTAGGAAATTAATACTTAAGCAAGGATGCATTAAACTGACCAAAAGTGACAAAGACATTTATAATGTTACAAAATATTTCTGTTTCAAATAAAAATTAAAGAAACAAGAAAATCCCAATAGAATGATTTTTGAAGGATCACGTGACTGGAGTAAAGACTGCCGAAAACTCCGCTTTGAATCATAGGAATAAATTACATTTTGAAATATATTCAAATAGAAAATAGTTATTTTAACGTGTAATAATTTTACAATATTACGGTTTTATATTTTTGATCAAATAAATGCAGCATTGGTGAGCATAAAAAACGTTTTCAAAAAAAAAGAAAAAAAAAGAAATTTGTATCTACCCCAAACATTTGAACAGTAGCGTAAACGTATACATATGAATTATAAATGTATTTTTTAGATTAGATTATAAATTTAAAAATCCAATGAATTCTTTTAATAAAAATGAATAAAAACCAAACTCACTAGTTGACCTGATAAACCAAACGAAACTGACATCTCACATAGAGATGGGCGATATACTGGTAGAGATTTTGGACTATCGTTTGTATCGTGGATAGACAATGACGTTGCTCTGCTACGTGGTATCGTTTGCACGCGTTTTTAAGCATTGCGGTTTAAAAACAAGTGATTTTAAGCTGCTGAAACGCAATCAGCAGCAAAAGAAAACTCATTTTACTATATGCTCACGCTGTCTGAGAGACTGTTTCTGAGCGCTGTCAGAGAGGCGCATGTAAAGAGTTATTTTTGCTGCTTTATAGGCCTTGAACCATTAAACACACTTGTATCAGTGTCAAAATGCCCACCTTTGCAAGTATCCTCGTAAACACCGTAGTTTAGGTCTTTAGTGAAAGCGAACGGTTGAGAAAGAAAACGTGTAACGTTGGATCCGGGCAGCTCTTAAAGTGACAGCAGTCTAATATTCCTGCTGTCTGTCATTCATGTTAATCCAATAACAAAAGAGAAAAAAAATCTCACTGCTCTTGACCAAATCACTTTTGTAACTTTAATTTTAAGAAGAAATATATATTTTATTTATACAGAAGAATATGCAGTGTTTTTATACATCTGATTACAATTTATTTATACAATGTATGTAGCATTTCTTATTTGTTCTACTGTAGTTTTTTGTCCTGTTGCTTGTAATTAGTTTCTTATTCTCTTAAAATCGCTGACTATTTACTTGTCTTCAGTGAGCTTGTTTATTTTATTTTATTTATTTGCTTTTTTTTTTTTTATTTAGGCTAGTATTAGTTTTTTGTGATATTAACACTGGTGACAAGAATTATGAAACTTCTATGGTATAAATTTTTGATATCATAAAGACCTTACAGCAAAAATTACTATACAGTCATATATATCGTTACTTTTAAATAAAATTACTCGTATCGTGGTCAGATTTTGGTCATATTGCCCACCCCTAATCCCACAATATACTGGAGTTGTGTAATCAAGTGGTTGTTAAAGACATGCAGGCCGGCAGCTGTAAGATCAAACCCCTAAAGTGTGATCCACCATCGTACAACGATCTCCAATGCGAGCACTTAACCCCAGACTGTCCCTGTAAGAAGTGTACTTTCATTAGGTGCAAGCGTCAGCTAAATGACAAACTGGCAAATTATGAGGCGCAACAGGCTGAAGAGAGTGAAAAGTTGGACTAATTATATGAGAAAGCCAGTGAAGCATTAACACCGATCTACAACAAAAGGCCAATTCAACAGAAAGGGAGCAGTAATTGCGTAACACTTTTTAGCTTCGACATCGTAAGATTTAAAAACAGTGTCTTGTTGAACACTGTGATGTTGAATAAAGATTGCGGCTTGAGATAAAATACTGTAAGGGAATCACAGAGTTCACAAGGAAACTTTAGGCCTGAACATCTGCTGACCCTTCGGTCTTCTTAAGAACATTTGAAGACATTAACAGCAAGTCTGCATTTGGATTTCTTGTTTCTTCCTTATTTGGTTTGACAATTGGCCAAATTCAATTTATTCTCTCTGTTCTGGTGTTCGGCCAGTAGCGGGAACGGAGAAAGGAACAGATGGCACTTGTAATGATGCCATGGACGCAATCACAAAAGAGTTTTTAACACTCAAACATCAGATCAACTGTTTTCATGGCAACATTTCCTTTGCAAATAAAAACACACTTGTACAGAAGTCATTACAGTACCTTGAGACGGTCGTGAATCTGTCTAAATAAATCATGTGGTTTAATTTTGCTTCTTACCTTGTAATATACTGCTGAATGCAGTCGAAGCTGCCCTGGGGATTGTCCTTCCCCACATTGGACAGGTAGAACGTAAACGTTCGCAGCTCATTTGGATTCTCTGACTGCGGTATTGAGATTTTCTGTTGACACAGAACAAGAGAACAATAAGCATGGAGACAGACTAGAGAGGTTGTTAAAAGCAGCTGCTTAGTACAAAATGGTTTACACAGATTTACCTGTATTTTTTAGTATGAAGATAAATAAATAAAATACAAATTAAAATATAAATACATCAAAATAAATAAAATACTAAATATATTTAAAAAAAAAAAATCTAAATATGAATGAATAAAATATAGATCAAAATAAATATCCAAATGAACAAATTAATAAATCCAAATACAAATCAAAATGAATAAATAAACTAAAATATATAAAATTAACAAATATTTAAAATAAATAAATCTAAATACTATAAAAAAAAATATGCATAACTAAATCTAAAATAGATTTTTTTTCTTTACATTTTACATTTATACAAGTATGAATAAACTAACACTAAACATACATAACATCTAAAATAAATCTGTTAATAAATGTAAATATAAATCAAAATATAAATAAAATATATAGTTCAAAATGAAACATCTATATGAATATATAAATTAATAGCCTAAATGAAAATAAATGAATAAACTAAAATATATACACAATCAAATCAAATACTAAAATATATAAATGGCAAATCTAAATAAAAAAAATCAAATATAGATACTCAAAATATGTATAAATTACAAACAAAAATCTTAAATATATCAATCTAAATGAACAAATAAAAAAATGGATAAATAAACTAAAATATAAATCAATAAATATTTAAAATATATAAATGTAAAATATAAATAAAATACAAATATGAATAAACTAACACTAAATATACATAATCTAAAATAAATCTAAAAATAAATCAAAATATAAAAATAAATACAATTTATGTATATATTGTATATATAAATAAATATAAAAAAAATAAAATATGAATGAATAAAAATATCTATATAATAAATAAATTAATAAATCTAAATACAAATCAAAATAAATGAATAAACTAAAATATATAAAATCACAACAAATATCTAAAATATATACATAAATCTCAATATAAGTCAAAACAAATCAAATATAAATACAATCAAAATATGCATTAATTACATAAATCTAAGATATATAAATAGAAAAATAAAATGAAAAAATAAAAAAATATATAAAATATATAAATCTAAATGAATAACAAAATGAACAAATAAAAACTAAAATATAAATCAATAAATATCTAAAATATATAAATGTAGACGTAAAATATATCTAAAATAAAAATGACTAAACTACCACACACATAAATATAAACAATCAAAATATGAATTTACTAAAATGAATAAATTAAGTAATTCCAGTTAATATTAGACTAAATTCAATGTAAAACAAATCTCCTAAAGGAACAGCTTTTCCAATTGGTTTGAGATCATGGTAGATGGTATGTGTCATCCATGAGTTTCACTTCAGTCAAATGAGATTTTCTACAGTGACCAAACTGCAAATGCATCATCTTTTAAAGAGCTGCACTTGACCACTTAAGACAACTGCGGTTTGTGGCCCTCAGGGGCCTTCTGTAATATCCTTGATGTGCAACCATACAGACCAGCGTCCGGCTCCCGCAGCAGCACACCTGAGAAGGCAGCAAACAAACGCGTCTCAGGCTCGGCGTCGTGAGCCGAATTACAGCCATCAACAGCAGCAGCTGTCACGCACACATGCAAAACTGAAAACACAGCAATCATTTACAGCACTTTCCTGAGACTCGCTTCGTGTGACTGGCAACTCTGTCACATTGTTAAATAAATGAAAAAATAGAATATTCACTGCATCCCAAGCAGGAACAAGAGAACGGTGAACTCGTATAGATGTGTGAGCTCCTGCACAGTAGACATTATTATGCAAGCAGCAGCAAATCTCCTTAAACTCCTACACAGCTAAAACATACCTTTAACATAGGGGGGAAACTATTACGATGATGATGATAAACTAATTTAAAGTATTAATTACATAAAATTAATAGAGTAATTGTATATAATACTAATATAATTTTAAGTCATTTATTCAATTTACATTGACACAATTATTCACATTTTAAAAAGACTTGCACAAGTAACAACAATTTCACTTGCAAAATATTTTTGAAGTATGACTAATTTTTTTATTTAAAATTGTCAGTTGTCAATTAATAAAAATTAAAATAAATTGGCATGCATCTTAATGTACATAATTATACACTAACAAAAATAAAATTTCATATAAATACAACAACATATTTAAGCATTATATAAAATATTACTACAAGAGAGCATCAGTTATCAATAAATAATTCAATTTATTGATAATTTACATTATACATGATTTAAATCATACTATTAATAATAAGAAGAATAATAAGAAAAAGAAGATGATTTTATATAATTAAAATATTTAAAGTAGGGCTGGGCGATATAGCAAAAAAATGTATCAACGATATAATGTTTCATAAAGTTTGGTATCGATATTTATTGACATTTTTAATTTAAACACGGTGTTTTTAACCTCTTAAGACCCGGCAAAACATTTTAGGAAAGAATTTGTATTTTTTGATGTCATTACATTGTTTAGAGCATTAAAAAAAATTGAAACAAAAAATTTTAAAAATTATATTTCATTCATAAGTTATGCTATGTCCTTGGTAGAGGACATCGGGACTCAATTTCTTTAAAAAAAATAAAAAGACATGAATGAACATGCTTAGGCAAAAACAATTGATTTTTAAAAAAATCACCAATACATTTTTAGTTTTCAGGATTTTTTTTTACCAAACTTTGTATAAAGATAATTCTCAGGAATTTTTATTTTTATTTTTTGATGTCATTACATTGTTTAGAGCATTAAAAAAAAATTTAAAAATTATATTTCATTCATAAGTTATGCTATGTCCTTGGTAGAGGACATCGGGACTCAATTTCTTTATTTAAAAAAAAAAGACATGAATGAACATGCTTAGGCAAAAACAATTGATTTTTAAAAAAATCACCAATACATTTTTAGTTTTCAGGATTTTTTTTTACCAAACTTTGTATAAAGATAATTCTCGACTATGTTATAACAATGATTTGATATACCATTTTTCTTCATGCAAAATGTGTAAAATGGCCACAAACAGGTTCTCATTATATATAATGTATCTATAAACTAAATTTAATTTGCATATTAATGTGTTTTTGGGGCAACATGTAATGAAAAAAAGAAGTGTAATATTGAGAGTAATAATTGACAAGATTTTCATAATATATAATATTTCATAGGAATAGGGATATGCCGTATCAAATTCTCATGTTGCGATTAATTGCTAATGCTTTTATCACGGTATACGGTGTTGTCACGATATTGAAATTTAGTTTTAAAAAAAGTGCTGTCTCAGGGATCTTATCTATGCACAATCAGCTTGTAGCACTCCAAAGAGAAAGGAAAACTTGAAATCGCATCATATGACCCCTTTAACATTCACAATGAGCAATAGTTACATTTGCTACAGAAGTTATTAATCTTTGTTTAAAAAATACTTAAGTCTTATAAGTGAATACTTAAGTCTTAGTTCATGTTAGTGCATTAAATAACACAGTTGCAACTTTCGATTTTAACAACGTGTTATTAAATATTGTAATTACCTAAGATTAATGAATGTTCAGAAGAATTTTTCATTGGCAGTTTATGTTAACTAATGAATTAACTAATGTTAACTAATGAAGCCCTAATGTAAAGTGTGACCGAACAATAAAGAATCAAAACACTTTCAAACAATATCTAGGGCATGTTGTAGTCCAGATTAAAATGTAAAAAAAGATTGAAAATAAATAGCCTATTAAGTCTAAATATTTAAGTATTTGGCGCGGTGATGAACATCATAGCAAATACACAAATATGAATGGCTGTTTAAATCATTTAAAAACGATTCAGAGACAGAAAGTAGTGCAGCTGCTTTGTTTACAGGGTTTCCGGGGTACCAGCTGCATTTAGATGAATTATTATTATTATTATTTCTGCAGTTTAGCGCCATCTGCTGTCAGAGAGTGAAAGTGGGCTTTCATCCAGAGCATCTCTCACATGTTCCGCCATGGAACAATCTGGATGAAATCAACCTCCTGTTTCGTATGTTGATTTATGACACAGTTTAAAAATTTGTCCAATTTAAATGTCAGGATGCAGGGTCTCAGGAGGTTAAACTAACCCAATTTATTTACAAACAACAAATATTTTTTTTTAACAGTCAAAATAAAAATTAAATCTAATTTCTAATGTTTTATATGCAGATTAAATGGGTCTTAAGGAAACTTTTGGCTTGTCTCCCGAGGCCACAGGAGGGAGCAATGAGCAAAATAATGCAGCACATTAAATCGTTAACGCAAGGAAATAACTGTATATAAAAAAAGTTGCATTAGGTCTAAATTAACTCATAAATCAAATATAATTTTGCAAATTGCATAAACAATTAACAAAACAGCATCATGTATTTATGCATTGCTTAATACAAAAAGCCGAATCGCCCATCACACAGATTGCCTTTAAAAACGTATAAGACGCAGTGAAAAGGAATAAACCTCCACAAATTTGTGACGTGTTTTCTACAAGTTCAAAACTGTTTTAACTTTGCATGGCTTTCTATACATCTCTTGTGTGA